GCAAGCTCTAACCTATGATAAAATATAAATTGGACAAATAAACCAAAATAGCTGCTAATGAAATTGGTACCAGGTATAATTGGTACCCAAAAGGAAATATCTGTGCGGGGCAGTAAAGAGAAGAAGCTCTCCTGAATGCTTTGAGGTCTCTAGTTCTTTCTAACAGCTCTGTTTTGGAAGCTTTTAAATTCAAAGCTTACCTTAGTGATGAATGCACCGCTTCAGTCTTCAGTCAGTTCTTTTCTGTCCAGTCATAATCCACAACAGTCCTGTTTGGTCCAATTTGTTCGTGTTTTGTTTATAGGAACATTTGTTCATATGATTAGATTACAGTGGCACCCCTGCAGTGACAGATTAAGACAATGCTGAGTCATGGAATTGAGTTTATACCCCAAGCTAATCCAGATACATGCGCTGCACAGGGAAAACATGCAAACTCCACACAGGAAGGACTCCTGTCCTTCGCAGGTAGAAACAGACCTGAAAACTAAGCTCACAATACAGCCACAAAGGACAACACCAGACAAAGAACAGAGGAAACACCATGCACAAGCTATCAAGGAGCTAACAAGGGACAGGTTATGGTAATTAATCATTATAGCAAGAAACAAGGGTAACCAAGAAAACAAACCAGGTAGCTAAGGAAACAAGGCAAACACAGGAACAATGGGAGGCATACCAAAATAAGAGTCCCAAAACAGGAATCGTAACATCTACTTTGTGACAAATCAGCATTTTAGAATGATTTTGTAAGGATCATGTGACCCTGGACAATAAAGAAGGAAGAAATAGTTGTTAGTTTCTTAGGTAATACTATCAAAGATGAAAAATCTATGAAACTCTAATTCACAGTGCAGTTTTCCTCACATTAAAAAGGATCAGTAATACACTTAAATAAAAATGGAGAAAGTATGATTACTATTTTGTTACATTTCTCCTTGTGTTTACAGCCCACACGTGATGACCGGGGTTGGCTAATAAACCCCATTGGGCGAAACCCATGGTGGACTGTGTTGGCTGCCTCAATACCAGCTCTTCTCTGCACCATCCTCATCTTCATGGACCAACAGATCACCGCCGTCATAATAAACCGCAAGGAGCACAAACTTGTAGTATGCATATTTTTTAAAATAGCCTTTACAGAGGATGTGTGTCTCTCTACTGATCATATGTGTGTGTGATCAGTATCTGCTCTATTTCCTCTTCACAGAAAGGCTGCGGGTACCATTTGGATCTTCTGATGGTTGGAGTGATGTTAGCTGTATGTTCTATAATGGGGTTGCCCTGGTTTGTCGCAGCAACTGTCCTGTCAATTTCCCACGTCAACAGCCTGAAGCTGGAGTCTGAAAGCTCCGCCCCTGGGGAGCAACCTCGATTTCTGGGTATTAGAGAGCAAAGGCTTACTGGGCTGGTCATTTTCCTACTGATGGGTTGCTCTGTGTTCATGACTGGGGCATTACAGGTAATCGCACAAAATCTAGTTACATATAATATGTGGCCTACTTAAATTAGGCATACTTAATGCATTAGTTTACAAAATATCTTAAAGGACTGCTTTGTGTTTTACAGTTCATTCCCATGCCAGTTCTCTATGGTGTTTTTCTTTATATGGGCGCCTCATCTCTGAAAGGCATTCAGGTAGAGACATTCATCTGACACTAAACATAGACATGTACACAGTGACTTGTCAGTTACTTGTCATCTTTCTCCGCCCTTTCTTGCTCAGTTCTTTGACCGTCTGAAGTTGTTTGGCATGCCAGCGAAGCACCAGCCAGACTTTATTTATCTACGTCACGTTCCTCTGAGGAAAGTCCACCTGTTCACTTTAACCCAACTTACCTGCCTTGTGCTGCTCTGGGTCATCAAAACTTCCCCTGCCGCAATCGTCTTCCCTATGATGGTACGTCCCAAAACAAAGTACATACTTTTAATGTTAAGGAGGTTAAAACCTTCTTAACAATTCAATACTAGAATAAAACATCGCTTTTTTGGAGTTTTTCTGGTGTGAAATAATCATATATATTAGTTTGACAGATACTTTCATCCAAAGCTTTTGAAAAATACAGTACATTTTATCAGTTCATGCATTGCCTGGGAATCAAACCCATGACCTTTGTGTTAATAGTGCAATGCTCAACTGTTTTAGCCACAGGAACAGTGATGGAGGTTGTTTTAAAAACTATGGGTGTAATAAAGTATAACAGTGGCATAAGTGTGTTTATTTCCTGCAGGTGCTGGCATTAGTGTTCATCCGTAAGCTGCTGGACTGTTTCTTTTCCAATCGGGAGCTTAGTTACCTTGATGATCTGATGCCTGAGAGTAAGAAGAAGCTGGATGATGATTCCAAAAAGGCAGAGGAGGTTTGTGAATCATATGCAGAGTTTATTATAGCAAATGGTATCCAAACAATCATTTTTTTTTTTAAATCCACCCTGGAAACACTACTTTCTAAACTATGCAGTAATATGCATTGTTGTAAATTTCTTTATGGGCAGAAAATTTAACATTTAACATTTGCCAAAGTGATGCACTTTAAAAACTTAATAAAGTTAAAGCAACATAATTAAATTAAAAAAGACGCAAAATCATGACGCACTACTATTTGAAATGTTTATTTTTCACTTATTTATAGTTCCACATACTATTAAATCATTATTATATTCATAAAATATTAAATTAGCAGTACACCATGGAGTTGTATGTTAGGGCTCCACCCTGAACAACCCTAACATGATCTTTCAAACAAATTATGCATGTAAACTGATACTGAAACTAATACATCAACCCAACCTTGCATTGTGGTTTGTCATATACAACGAAGGAGGCTGCATGTATGTGTTTATGAGTAGCAGGAATCACAGGAGATGCTGGTGGATGACTCTGAGAAATTAGAAGACAAAGACACAGTGCAGATCCCATTGGAGAGCAAACCTCTACACTCACCTAAAACACCAGACCCCAGGTAACAAACTGCTATCAGAAGCTCTATGCAAACACTGTGGCTTATCGCAAACCCTTGGTCCAACAGACTCATGTAAAATGAGCTTAGACACCACAATGTCCACTGTGAATGTGTACTTACAAACACTCACCTTTCCCTTTGTGCCCTTCTCCTGCCCTCTCCTCAACTGTGTCCACCTGTTGTCCAGGAACGACCCCTCTGATATTAACATATCTCATGAAATGTCTAAAACCACTGTGTGGAAATCCCTCAATTCCAATCACAAGGACACACAGCGTTCAAGTACACATAAAAAGGCAAGAACGCTCTCTTTCCATCCTTTTAAGTGTTGGCTCCTTGAATTTCCTTTCTTACCCTTGTGTCTAATACTTTTCTATGTTAAAGAGGACCTATTATGCTTTTTTTCCAACTTTATTAAGTGCGTAATGTTATGTTATTCTCTGTATCAGTGAGCAAGCTGAAGCTCCTCGATTATAGTCTTGAGTCTTGATTCCCGCCCCATAAAACAAAATCAAAACTTTGTAAAAGGGCATAATATGACCTCTCTAATGCTGGTAGCGAGATGATTATTAGACAACAAAATGGCTTTTAAACTGCTAAGAAGTTTTGTTTGGTGATTTCATGTTTCTTTATCTGTGTGTTTTTCTCTTGACACAGGAGGTTCCGTGAAGTAACCCCACAGAAAGAAGAAATTACATTCTTGGCATCAGTTGTTTGAAATTCAGCTGACTTGTGCTGAAAAGCGGCCATGTGCTAAAAACACACAGATATTAGTTGACTCCTTTCCACTGTTTCTCACACTGTTTATGTATAGCTGTGTGAGATATTGGTGTGTCAGTGTGTGTTTGTGCATATGTGCAACATATTCTCCTACCGAATCCAGGTTGTTTTTAAGTTTTAGCTGAGCTTTAGCATACATATAGGTCTCTGTGCTGTGCTGTGCTGTAGTGTACATGTATTTTTATTTAACATTTTTGTAATTGTCTGGTTCTCAGTTTTGAATAATAGAGTTGTTTAAATGTTCTCATTTTAAGTATAATACTTGCTGTAAATATTACTGGATATGTGTGCTTTGTTCACCGTCTAAACATCCACAATAAGTATGTATGTTTAAGCCAAATGGCTGATCAGAATAATAACCTCAGTTTGATCTATTTTTGTGCCAGTATAAATAGCCATCAGTTACATTACACCTATATGAACCAAATCAGTTCTTATCCAGTAGACAGACTTGCCTATTTTTATTGAGTGTGTTGTATTGTTATATTGTAATATTGAGCAATAAAAGGCTTCTATGTGGTTAGATCACCAGGGATACTAATGGATAAGTACAGTATGAAGTAAGTGTTTTTACCACCATTTCAAAGTCTGAAACCTCACCAGTCATTTGAGGCACCATGTTGAGTGTAAACTGGACTTATTTGAATACCCTTTCTGGTCATAAATCCCAGTAATAAGCCATCTCTTTAGACTACCTCCCCGCACTTTTAAAACACCCACAAGTAGTTTCTGCACTGAAAGAGGTAAAACCTCAGTGAAATAACACTTTATTTACAGTTGCACTTTGTGTAGATATATACTGATATGATTTTATATTTTAAATGGAGTTATTATTATATAGAGTATAACAGTGTGATACAGTTATTTTAAGTAAAGAATTTTCTTTTTTTATATAAATGTATTTTAATAAAATTAGTTGAGCAGGTACAGGAAGACACTAGCTGTTAATATGAATGGGTTACAGCTGTACTTTGCCTTCAGATGATAGAAGAAGGTCAATATATTAATTCAGAATGTAAACTCATCTTTGGAATGTCAAGGAATGAAGAAATTTCCCAGCTTGACATTGAATTACTAAATTATCTTTTTTTTTTTGGTCCCCTCCATGGCTTTTTTGTTCACAGAAATGTTCTCGTTGACTTGATTGTACATGTTAATGCTGGGATGTGCTCAAAGAGAATGTCTTTCATTCCAATAAATTTGAGATTTTATGAACAAAATGAACCTGTTAACAGTTGTGTACGTGTTTTTTGTGTGTGTGTGTGAGTAAATATTTTTTATTTACCTGATTTTATTTATCTAACCCTTCTGGAGGAGTGGCATATGTTTCAACAAATGTCCTGGGGAAGTCATCGTTCACAAAGCTGATAGAAGTGGTCACTGGTTGATGGTAGTACTAAAAAATTATAGTATATATATTTTTTTTTCATTGTAATTATTATTTATGGATTTAACAATGCAGCACAAAACCAGAAATTATTAGAAGATATTTCAAATATGATCTCCGAAATTAATTTGATAATGTTTTAATAGCAGTGGACTGGAAGTTGGTTCCTGATGAATGGAAAGACAGATGGCCTCCCAGACTTAACAAGAGGCGGCTTAATGCTAGTGTTGATTTTTTGATGACAGAAAATAATTTGCAAAGTTCACGGGTCTCCCAGTTGGAATAAACTTTTTCTACTTTAATAACGTGCTCATGGTTCTTACTATTTTACAAACAGCAACTCATTATAAATGTTTCTTTTTGAGCTGTATTATTAAACCATCACCTCAGAATTGACCATGTTTGCGAAGTAGAAACAGTCATGGGTTTTATTGCTTTACTGCAAGCTTACATAGGACAAAGTTCACTTCTGAATCTATAGTCTAACTTTGAATTGTGGAAATGGAAGTTAAAGTTAGATGACTTTTCAGCATTAAAAGCTGAAAACCATTATGTAGGCCACAATCAGATTAAAGAGGACAGTTTCTTTTTCTTTTTAAATCGAAAAAAACGAATTTACATTGCACTTTTATCATTTCATTATATATTTTCTATTTTTAGCAGTCTTACCAAAAATATTCTTATGATCTATCACCTGTTTGTTTCATTCATTCTGAATACATGTTTCTGCAAGCTTCAAGATGCTGAGAGTAGAGTTCAGCACACTCTTTCGCTGTGTTGAGCTGCTGTTCACACCAGCCAATCAGGAAGTTCTTCATCACATTCACTCGGGAGCTATGGAAGCGCTCAATCTACAACACACATTAGTCCAATAAATACATATATACCCTCTATAAATGTACAATGTGCAATTAAAATTACTTTAAAATGAAGAATCAGAAGTCATGTCAGTCAGGTTTCCAGTGTAATACATTTAGCAGATGGGTTTAACATTAGTAACAGCATTTACCTCTTCTTTAGCCACAGATGAAATCAGGTTAAACTCTTTCTCAACAGCTTTTTGAAACGCTTCCATCTACAGTACAGAGAGACTTCATCTGAATTTCCCAGTTAAATATGATGTGAACACTTTTAGTGTGGACGTGTGTATGTGGACAGAGAAATATATGAAAGATACACATTAAAAACATACCACTTCTCTCTTATTGGCCTTGGCTTTTTCTGTAGTCTTCTTAACATTTTCCAGCTCTATCAGTTTACAGGTTCTTCTGAAGAGCATCTCCTGTTAGAAATAGACAGCAGCCTTGGGTTAGATTTCATTACATTTAATACAAACCTGCATTCAACACAACATATATATGGAGGAGTTTGAACACACTTGACCGAATTAATGTTTTGGGGCTTATGTTTAAATACTGACATGAGTTTTTTAAACAAATAGTTCCAGCCCTAAAATTTGATTGGTTGAGACTAGGAGATCAGATATACAGTCTTGACTCAAGCAGCACAAAGACTTTTCACTGTATCACTCCACTTGCCTGCGTTTTCCAGACAATCTTTTAGTCTGTTATTATAGTTAACTAAAACTAAAACATTAAAAACATTTGTTACTTGAGAAAATAAACGTTAACTGAAGAAAAAAACAAATAGTACGGCAACAAGTCTCATTATCATTTAGTTTAACTTGATGTAACCTAAAATAAACTGAAATAAATAACTGAAAAATAAATGAATAAATACTAAATTAAAATTGGCAAATCTGTCTGTGACTTGGGCATTATGGTGGGGATTTTTTTACTGACACTGTCTAAAAGTTCAGGAATAAACATCATCCAGGAATGAAAAACGCAACAGTAATCCTGCAGTGTCTTTGTTTAGAGCTTTTCTTTTGTTGCACAGCAAAAAAAGACAAAGTCACTGGTAATACTGTATCTAAAAGGTTAGTTACTATTGTATAAAAGCAATATCACGCATAAAAATCAAAGTCATGCTTAGGCATTTTATAAAACATACTTTCTCTGCCTCTTGGTAGCGAGACTCCAGGTCCAGACCCAAACCAAGAGTGCTTAGGTTGTTACTGGCAACTTTCTCAAAGTTTTGCTAAAGTTAAAATAAAAAATTAAAAAAATCAAATTTTAGAATTCAATATTTTTTTATAAAAATACATAAAGGAATGAGAAAGTGCACTTACCTTTACTGCCTCAATAATATCAGACAGCTTCAAACAAACCCTAAAGAAACACAACATCTGAATAAACTGATTATCCTCTCATAATAACCAACATTCACTTAAGCATGCACATTAATGCTGAAACAAGAGGTCATTTTATTAAGTAAAATTTCTAACTTGGAGAAAGCTACAGCAGCTGCATCGTCCTGATTCACACAAAGATGAAGAGATGTGGAGAAATGTCCACAGGCCAAAGCAAGCTCTGTAAAACACAAACACTGATATAAATAAGCCTACTGTGTTTCTAAATGATGTGTGAAAACTTCTAGCAGTGACTTACTTTGCTCTGTCATCACAACATCGATTAATTTCTATTGAGAGAAGAACACAATATTGCACATTGAATTATAAAATGACTAACAGTGCATTGGCCAGATAAAAAACTGAAAAACAGCTTAAATAGTGTACCTCTGTGGCAACCTTTGACAAAGTGGCAATATTTGTGTTTTTATTTCTCTCGTTCTGAAAGAAGTTGTCCACATCCTGGGGATACAACATTTTACAAATGATATAAATCACATTCATATATCTATTAAGTTTATATTGTCATATATCATATCACTACACAGTGTTGACTTTCCCAGAGGTGGATGGGATGAACACCTGCATAAATCACTCAAATGAACAACAAACTTTTACACAAATACCTTATGACTTTCCTTCCTCATCTCCTCCACAGCCTGACTAAGGCGATTAAAGATTCCTCTCCTGCCTCTCTGTTTTCCAGGAGACTAGTCAAACAACACATGCAATGACAAAAGTCAGATTATCAACAAAGATTTTGACATCTTTCCTAAAACTAAAACTGATAGCTAGTTTGGGTAAAAGCTGGTCTTAGGTTTAGGTGGCTGAGGAAGCTGGTCAAGAACACAGCTGAAAAACAAACCAGATCATGCAAGCCTGAACCGGTCAGACTGCTTTTTAGAGCATATAGTAGCTGATTTGTTCCAATATAGGTGACCAGGTCTCCACCCAGCTGATAGTACAGCTCAACCATCTAAATGACACTTTACAAGATACCATGTTCTAAAACACAACTACTACCTTCAGTTTTAGCTGGGAACCTCAGCAAGACAGGTTAGCCTGGTCAGTTCCATTGTATTATCAATCAATGGCTGTGATACAGATTCATGAAAAATCACAGTCACTGTGTGTGTGTGTGTGTGTTTATAGTAAACCTCAGAGTTATTAAGAAAGCTGTCCAGTGCTTTGCACTTGCAGAGAGTTGGGTGTGTTGCCACCTGCTGGAGATAAAACTCCAAAGCCTTACAATAACCCTGCCAATCTTTTCCTAGAGCCAGGAATCCTGAACACATAAAGAAAAACATAAATGTTACATTAGAAACAAAGTATCAAATCATTGGGATCCACACACACACACAATAAATATATAAATAATGGTTCTCGAGCCACCAGGCTGTTCTGCGAATTAGCGGCCGGGTTTTCTGTAACAACGGTGTCGTGTAAGTGGCCCCTAAGTTAATAACTAATGATCTTTGCAATGGAAGTGAATCGATGAGAACTAACTTCAGCTGGACAATTACTTTATTCTAGAGCTGCTGTACAGCCAAAAAAATCTATGTTACTTTAATTTCCTATTATAGTAAAGCTGCTTTGAAACATGTCCATATTATTAAAAGCACTATGAAGGTGACTGACTGACACAACACACACACACACACACACAACAACACACACACCACTGCCTGTGCATTTTCAAATAATACATACCAAGTTG